AGAAATAAAAGTTAAAATGGAAAATATGTTTTTATATAGCAAAATAGTGGACTTAACAAGGAAAAAGCTGTGTTTAGTTTTAAGGCTTGTCATACAAAAGGAATTTTAGCTGCTGTTGCTGTTGTTTTATTTGTTTCTCTCTTTCTTTCTTTTTTTGACCCCCAAGGAAAAAAGCCATTTTTCCAAGATATCAGAATTACAGAATGCGTGTACCCAAACAGTTGTGTATGAAAATTTATCATAGGTGCCTTATGGGCTGATCAGAATCCCACTAAAGGGAACATGGAGTCAGAACTAGACCTTAGATACAGAACTGCAATAATTTGGGCTTCAAAGCTAGAATTCAGACCAAGCCACTGGAAATGACTACTGTGCCTTTGAATTTTGGCCTCCAGCCTGTGTATTAGCAAAAGGAAAATTGCATTTGAAGTGGTCAGCATGCAGATGTTGGCCATATGTTTTGCATCTCTTATAGAAGCTGAAGCCTCCTGTGCGATCAACTTAAAGTCATTATGCACTTAACAAATGATCACTTTTCATTAGTGACCCATCATCTTTTACGTAAGCATATCCTTAGATGCATAGATGTGCATGGGGAGTTTGTACTTGTGCTTGGCAAAACTGAGCACAGCTTTGGCAGTGCCTGGGTACCCATTACAGTGCGTCGCTCTGAATGCCAGTCTCAAAGGGCTCCAGTTACTATGGTCTAAAAAGTCAATGAAAGCATGAAAGGGTTTTACAGAAATGTGTGCAGCCTTGACTTCGAGTGCTCAGAGCTGGCATCTTTCAGTATCCTGGCTCTGCTGGTGTGTAGAAACTTCGTGAACGGTGCTTGCTTGACCATGAGTCCAAACTTTTCCTTACAGGTTGCAGTCTTAATTATACCAACGCTGAGAGAAAGGCCATTAATTTGAGTTATGGAGGAGGTTTACAGACTTTGGTGCATTAAACAACCTCCCCAAGGTTATGCAGGGAGTGGGCTGCTGTGCCCAATATGTAAGGACAAGTAATTTTGCTGAAATCATAGGTCATCCGTAGGTTTCAGCTCCATTTGAGATTAGTGGTCTGAGGGTAGTGGGTCTGACCCAGTGTTGTTTTACTGCTACTTTGTGGTTCTACACTGCCACTAATATAGCTGGAGTTTTAGCCTACTGTCTACTGGTAGTCTTTGGAAAAATACTGACATTCCTAATTGTTTAATAAATCATTAATAGAGCTTTTAGTGTGTGTGAGGGTGTGCATATTGATTTGTGTATGAATATTTAGGTATTAGGAAAAGAAAGTAAGGCTGTTGAGACTCCTGCAAGATCTGGAGAGAGGAATATCCAATCACAAATTATAATTAGGTGTAAAGGTTTTCCACTAGTTAGAATGGAGAAGTTGACATATTAAATGGCACGTACTGTAATGATGTGGACTGACTCAGAGAGTTTGAAGGAAATAACAGCTGTGCACATCAAAGCTTAAAAATAGAAACTTCATCAGTCAGTAGCGGTTTAGAATGAATGAAGAAATCATGAAATTATTAATTATGGTGGTTAGAGAAAGGAAACAGAAAGTTCAAACTCTCCAAAGGCAGAATGCTGCCTTCAGTCTTGCAGTGTGCCTGCCAAGAAAATAGGTCCCTTGTCCTGCTGAGCCCCTGTGTAAAGGTGGGGGCTGTTGCCCAAGCACAGGCACCTGCTGCCGTTTCAGATACCCTAAGCTGACTCAGACATCCCACCTGGCTGGCAGATATGACACAGGGCATATGGCAGGCTCCTGCCCTTCTGGAGTGGCAGCTGGGTGCCCCGAGGCATCTCAGATGGCAGTAGCGCTGCTGCCTAAGGAGCGATCGCACGTACACAGAAGTACAGACTCGCTTTCACTCGCATCATTAATACACAGTCACCTGAAGCACATCAGTAGTTCACAGCAGTGTTTGCAGTGGGTAATTGCAGAAAGCAATGAACAGTTTATCTGATTTGAGACTTAGGAGGACTTTTGAGATGAATAGAACATTTATCCAGATTAAAATCTAACCAGGACATAATGTTAAAAGCTATCCAAGTGTTAAAAAGTGTAGTTAAAAACTATGATTTAAAGTTGCAGTGGCTGGTTGTTTTCTTAATGACCTCAAATCCATGAATTCATTCTAACATTTGCCTTTTTATATATTCATAGTTAAATATAACTTGAATGTTGTCCTAATTACATTCTCATGTTAATTTAGCTCTGATTCAGAATTTCTATCATTATTCTTTGTAGAATTATTTTGAAATGATGCAAAGTTCAGTAAAGATGCTCCAGTGTGTGATTGTGCCTTTGAATTATTTATCACATTCAAAGACAGAAATATGGCTAAAATCTAGTTTGAGTTGTAAATGAGTCTTGGTAACACGAGGAGGAAGTGAAAATCCTTTTTGGAGAAGGATGTGGTTTATGGGCACATCATCTGAGAGTGGAGGAACACCTCATGGTCCCACATGAGCAGAAAGCCTCACGGCTTAATAAGAAAACCTCCATTGCACCAACTGGCAAGGGCTATCTGAGCAGATTAGGCAGATAAAGAGTAGAAGAGGGGAGAGAGAGAGGTACAGAGACAACTTGCAGAAATGACAGAACAGATTAGTGACAGAATTAAGAAGGGGAAACAGATATCCTGCCTTGGTCAGCAGCAGCATTCACACCGCCGTCTCTCCCTTTCCTGTGTGCTGTGGTAAGGAAAGCTCTCACAAGCAGTATTTAGCCCTTGTTTTTCACAATGCATCACAGTGACAAGTAGTACAGTGCTAATATAAGGTTGTAGAAACTATGATTAATGCAAAACTTCATACTTGTGGCTGTGGCCCTGAGCTAGGTAGAGAACAAACAAATGCTGGTGAGGCGTATACAAGTCTGAGACAGAATGAAACTGTAGGAAAAAAATTCTGGAGGAGGAAAGGAAATTGTCTTAATGTAAGCAGCAGTTTTGCTAGAGGTAAGTGAGGGGAAATTCTTCATTTATAAATGGTTCGTTGACCCATGATAATAAAGCAGTGCTGCAGAAGAAGGATAATTATCTACTTAAGTATCAGATGCCCTAAGGGTAAAAGCTTCCCTTCTCTCCTTTTGAAAAATGAACTCAGATTAAACGAATGTCCTTTTTCCTGTTTTACTCTTGACGTGGATTTCCTCTTTATGAGTAAAATTAATTAGTTTTTCTATTCCTTTATTCCTGGTATGGAAATCAGGTCTGCCAAGCAAGTTTCCAGCTCATCCCTTGGGCCCTTAGTTCAGCCAATAGCATCCTTTATGGAGGTGCTTTGTACAGTGTGCTGGGAAGGCACAAATAAATTACAGGAGCTTTATTATGCCCAGTAGCTTGCCAAGAGGCACAGCCTTTTAGAGCTAAAAACCCACAAAACCAGATTTTTTTTTCCCCGTTCAGGAATGGTTTATTTCCAAGTACCTGTTTGCTAAATAGATATTTCTCCTTCCTTAAAATATTTTTAATACTGTGAGCTACAACAAGAGGAAAAGAGAAAATAGTGGTGGCATAGCTGTTGTTGTACCAGACAAGCAAGGGCCAGATTTTCAAAGCAGATTAAGCCCGCAGCTGGGGTTCTGTTCTGTTCTTCTCCTGTTCTGTTGGGAGCAAAGCTGGGGAGATTGCTGGAAAAATCTGCTCCCAGTTAAGCAAATATCCATTACAATATTGTCTGTCCTCATCTGGATTCAGAAAAATTGTCAGAATCTGCCCCTACTTCTTTATTTCCAGAAATTATCTGTTTTTTCCTTTTATCAGAATTATAAATTTGATTCCTACGAGAAGCTTGGTGAACATAAACATGTCTCTCTGTTTATGGAAATAAAACATCTTTCGCATGTGTTAATCATTTTTTATTTCAAATGTTTCATGAGGTTCTTGAGGCTTCTTAAATCATGTCAGTGTAACCTTGGTGTGAACCTGTTAACTACAGAACATCTCCTAGTTACATTTCCTGGAATATAGAGAATATTCCTGAACACCTGCAGGCTTCAAGGTGCATAAAAATAAATATTACTGGAACACAATGGCATGGAGCTTAATTTTCTTCAAATAGTCCTTTGAAAATAGCACTCATTTTAATAAGGAAAAAATACCGAACTTGTTAATTTTCACAACCTTTGGTCAGGGAAGTTCAAGTGGTATTAAAGGTGATTTTAAGGTCTTTATTCTGCAAACACAATACTGTAAGTCAGAAAAAAAAATCCTGTCTGCAGGGAACTGAAATGAGAAGCAAGTCCCACATGCTTTCTTGTTGGATTTACACAACTGAAACTCTGCTAAGAATTCTGGACACTATTAATAATATTACAAAATTGACTTTCAAGTGAGGAGTCATAGAAATTATTAATTTTTGTGAACACAGCACTTAAAAGCGAAAAGTCTGAAGTATCTTACCATATTTCTAAAAATACATAATGTTTATAACAGGTGAGCATTCCTCGTGAATGGTAATTAGTGTGATGTATAAGTAAGTGAGCTGCTTTTAACAGCATAGTGTCGGGTTTTCACATTTAGGTACCTAAAATTAGAGGTGTAAGAGCAAGATTTTAAAAAATACATACTATGTATGTGGAAAAACACTGTAAAACTGTTGTCTCGGATCACACACCCATATCCACCTTCAAATCTGTTGCTTTTCACCCATTTTCTTTTAATCACAAAAGTAAATGTCTCTAACTTCCGAAGATGTTAATACCAACAGCTGTGTAGTTCAAAATGGTAACTTTGAGTTTGTGAAAACTTTGTTTTCCTTTAGATGTCTTCATATTAGCATATGAACCGTATTTTAATCATTTGGTTGATATCTGAAGGGCTTCAGGAAACTTCTGAACAAAGCATCGTGTGATTGACTATGTTTAGCCTCATGTTTTAGTAGAGCAGTAGTTTAGCCAAATCGGGGTGATCAGAAACAGGTTACAGGCAGGGGGTGAGACACTGTTCTTTCTGGGCAATCAGATTTGCGTTTGTACCTTGACAATCCAACCTTCAGATGTCCTTGTTTGCCCGCTGCGTCCGGTGGAGCGTTTCCGTGACCTGTGTCCCGAGGAGGTGGCTGATCTGTTTCGTATGGCACAAAGGGTTGGCAACGTGGTAGAGAAACACTTCGGTGCCACTTCACTTACCATTTCAATTCAGGTTTGTAAATCAATCAAATATAAATAAATAAATAAATAAATAAAAAGGTTTCATGATTTATTTTAGCAAGCTTCCTGCCACCTTTCGTAGGCCAATGACAAAAGGGCATTCAAATTTTAAGGGACAATAAATGCAAAGTAACAATTAAGGAAAAAATTGAAAAGCATATTAATGTTTTGCACAGTGGATGGCAATATGCCAGATTTGCCATTGAAAGAGAAATTCTCATTGCTAAGAGAAAAAAGAGAAAAGTTTGGATAATTACTAACTGCCATACTTTTGGCTATGCCTGGGAACACTCTCAAACGCAATTCTTACTCATGAGTGTTTCAACAAGTACAATGAGTGTTTCCCAAGGAGGTGTTTGCAGGATTGAACTTCCAGAGGAGGCAGTCACATCTCTGTCTTCAACGGGTAACCCATAGCTTGGAATGGAAAAGAGTAATTCCTTCTCTCTTACTCACGCACATCTATATGCAGGCAGAGAGATATGGCCATGTAAATATGTTATCAGTTATTTTCAGTTATTTGTACTGGGTTTCTGTGCCAAAAAAGAGCTTTTTTTTTTTAAAAAAAAAAAAAAAAAAAAAAAAAAAGCAAATCAGGAGACTAAGCCTATTTCCTTAGAATAAGACTTTAAGAAAGCATGCTTTGATTAAATTCTCACTTACTTGTCTGATTTTATATTCACAAGGATCAGAAACCTATTGCTAGCTATTCAAAAATACAATCTGAAAGCATGAAAATTAACAACTGTGGGTTTTGTGGTCAAAGATACCGCTTCTCACTCTGCCACGGCCTGATGTGGAAAGGCACCTAGTCTAAAAACTGTGTTGAAGGGACCCCAGGAGAATATGCTAAATTACCATACAATGAAATTGGATGTGAATGATTAATGAGTGATATTTCTGAATCCCTGTGTGTGATCCTTGTTAGTTCCTCTAACCTGAGACTTCTCCCTTTGCTTACAGGATGGCCCTGAAGCCGGACAAACTGTGAAGGTGAGTGCTTATTATGCAGAATACAAATTAAGAGACAATTATAAGAACTAATAAAAGATCAAAGCTAGTCATCTGCAGACCATTGCTGTATTGTTATGTTATCCTTGAGATCAAAAAATCCCAAGTGTACAATAGCTGTAAATACTTTTTATTGAAATTGCACTGGATAATGTTTACAGGTTTTTTTCTAGACAAAAGTTTTCAATCATGAAAATATCTTTTCTAAGCTGCTGGCTGTATTTATGCAAGGGAAGCCATAGAAAAGAGGCATCTGTTTAAGGTTTTTGTGTTTGTTTTATGGAGAAAATATTGCCCTTCCATTCTTAATCTCTTTGTTTGTCTTTTTATTGCCTAATGAGTTGTAGATAATTATAGGAACAGTTAAACTGAACCACATTATGAAAATATACCTTTTGTCTCTGCTTGCTCTCTACATATTCATATCACATTCTTGTTACTGAAGTTCAAATGTAATGGAGCCAGTGAAGCTTAAAAACAGATTTTAAGTGTACTTCTGAAAAAAAAGGCGGGGGGTGGAAGGCAAAAGGATTTATGATTATACTCTCCACTTGAGTAATAACATAGATAACATCCAAGATGGCTCTCCAGCCATGTTTCACTGCCTCGTAATGCAAATGCAAATGCATGTGTAGTTAGATTATATGCCTGAACATTAGATAAAGGCTATTTTTTTTTTTTTACGTTTGGAATCAAAGGAAAGTCAAATATGGCTATGGGTTAGCACTTTGTAAAATCAGATTAGATGGCTCAAAGAAGCTGTTTGGGTTGATTAAGATAACTCTAACAACCAAATGATAGCATATAGAAACATTTTACTTCTTTCCAATTTGCTTGTATTGACCTTATTTTTCCTGTGCCTTTTTGTTGCCTGCTTTGAATATTTATCAGGGAGGTGAAAGGGAGAGAGAAGAAGAAATTAGAAAATCCCCAAGCTTTGGGATGCTGAGCAGTGATGAAGAAATGTAATACAATTTACTGCCATACTGCAATAAAACTGATTCCTCAGGTCATGACTTAGAGTTCATTGGGTGGGTTTCACTGGGAATGCCTGTAGTTGGGTGAAAGTTTCACAGTTTAAATACATTCCTGAATAAATTTCATCATTAAACATGGACATGTCTTAGCAAATGGATCACAGGATTTCTTTTGCTCTCTTGAACGAGTTGTTTGTTTTATTCCTTCGTAAAAAGGGGGCTTTATAGGGATGATTAAGTTAAAATGTGTGAAAATTTTCTAGTATGAATGAGCAAAACCAGATGTAAAAATCCCCATCTTGCATGACTGTGAGCAATAACAGATGCTTACATAGGCCTTAAAAAGGGAAAAAAATCTGTATCATTTTGTATTCATACCGGAGACAAAGAACATTAAGCATTAATCTATCCGGTACATTGCAAATGGTAGCCACCCTTAGTGCTTCCATCTTATACTTCTAATGAGCAATGAGATGAAAATGACCCACTCTTACAGCTGTGAACCCCTAGACTCAATAATAAAGAGTGTGTATTCATAAATTGGAGGTTAGCAGTTTGCATTTCTCTACTTTTCTGCATCATTGGGCTGCACTGTAATTTATCATCATCACTTTAGGATGTTTATCATCTGAAAATGCCAACAACTATTTTCTTCAGAGAACTTAGAGCTTTCAAAACTGGAATTGGGGAAAAAAATACTATGATCAAGATCTTCTTTAAAGTGAACAATAGGGAGGGTACATAAATAGCTGGTTCCACTTAAATTCCTTTGAATTAGAAAGTTTGTAAAACCACATGATCTACAAATAATTTATGAACTTTGCATTCAGTGTGTCATTTGTTTCTATGTGTTTTTTTGCATGTATAAAAATACACGATAATCCAGTTTTCCTCTAAGAGAACTTGTAATTAAAATTTCTGGAACAGATTTAACATTAGGAAAACATTCTAATAGTAAGAATAGCAAAGCATCACAATAAATATCCAAGGGAGTTTGTGAAGTCTCTGTTTCAATAGGGTAGGCAAGGGTATGTCAGGAGCTAATTAGGTGTAGCTGATCTAGCTCTGAATGGGGGCACACACCAGATGGCTTCAAGAGTCTTTCCTATTTTATTTTGTATAATTCTGGATACCTGTATAGATATAAGCTACTACATGTGCTACATGGGAAAAGAATTACAGGAAACAGGGGATGAGTACTGGCTGTTAAACTGATCAGTGCAAAACCTCACTACAAAATGAGAAAAGCAATCAGCTTGGTGGAAAATATAAATTGAGAAATTTTATCTGAAAAATATTAGGAAATTCTCTTTATTTTTCAACAAGGAGAAGTAGTAATCCATGTCAAAGAAAAATCTTGGACCTGAGTTTGATTACATCTCAGGTCTTTTTTTGCTGTGGAGATGCCTGAGATATGTGCAGTGCATGCACCACGTTTAAAGGAGATTAGTCTCTTAGAGCGATTTTGGATAGAAATCCACGGTAAGATATTGTTTGCTAATGTTATATGTTCATTGTGTTGGCATGAAACCTGCTGGTGTGTGCATGTTTCAGTCAGATGTACTGCAATGTCAGGATACGTCAGTGGTGCCTGTACTGAAACCATACTAGTTATCTAATTGGAAGCTGTTTATAGAATCTAACACACAGGAGTACAACATTACTGTCCTCCTTTCCTTGTTTATATTGTCGTCCTGTGAATCTAAATTATTGGAGCCTGCTGGATCGCATTTTAGGGAAGCTCCTGGTCCTTTCCAATTCTCCCATTAATGAGGTCTGTGTGTTTGTCTTTGGAAGAAACATTATACCTGATCCTCAGCCCACCAGTACTTTGGAAGTATAGATGGCTCTTTTCTTAGCCTTTAGCAGCAGGAAAGAATACATTTCCTGAGGAATTCTGAATCACATCCCAGGTCTCAGACCTTACAGTAGTACAAAGTATTCCTTCATCATCTTTTCCACAGCTGCCCACAGATTGCATACATTCCAGCCCTGTCACCTATTTGTGACAGGGAGAAATATCCCTCTCCAAAGGTGGCCACAGACTTGCACGCTTTTGTGTTTTACAGTAAGAGCTTCTTGCACCAACTCACAACAAAGAACCTGAGCTTCTCTAAGCAATGTGTGAGCAAGCATAACCATCTTCCAGCATTAAACACATTTTGAATTCTTATTTCATCCTACCTAGGGGGGAGGAAATTGTATTTAGGTTCTCTCTTAAAGAATATTTATATCTGCAATTTTGAGCTCTGTTTTTCTTAGAGAATGCAAAACCTACAGCGTCCTTGTGTCAGGAATGGAGAGTGAGTTTCACACTGGTTCTATTTGAGAATGCCTTAAATATCCAGGCAATTTCATGGATCAGGGAAATCAGCTCTGCATCTTAATGCAGAGCTCTTATTGCCATGTCAAGTGAGTGACGTTTCAAGATTTTCCCCAGTATATTTTATAGCTTTCTTTCCAACATCAAGTCAGCAAATGCTCTAGCTGCCTTGGTGGATGTATGGCATAGTGTAGAATAAACTCTCAGGTTTACCTTTTATGTGAGATTCAATCACAAGAAACTCCATGCACTCTGTACTCTGTAAAGGCTAAACAAATCAAGCTGGCAGGAGCATGATGCAACTAATTTATCTGTAGAGACAAGATAATATTGCACAGCAAGTGTCCATTGTGCAAACACATATGAACACACACTCTATTTTGCAGCAGCGTTGAAGTCTCCGGCAGCTCAACACCTCCACTGTTATCCATGACAAAGTGCCTGCTTGCCAGTTACAGGTTCACCTAAATAAATGAGAAATTGAGGCTGATGGTGGCAGTGTAGGTATATGTGCAGAAATTTATTTTGTGTGTCACATATTGCACTAATTATTTTACACTGAGAAGATTACCTTACCATTATTTTTGATGTACATGTTTTTCTTTTCCAGATGTGTTTTTAATGCTATGTTAAATGAATCCACCTGGCTTGCATTCCTTAGAAATCTTAACCTGAACTGTAGATTCTAGGGTTTATTTAAGCACACAGGAGACTGCTCTTTCATACTATTTGTCTACCTGTCCTTGGACATAGAGTACGGGGCTTCAGGTCTGAATCTTTAAGTTTAATCAGATCACATTGCAGCCTGATTGCATCAGAAGGATTAAATTCACTAACTGCAACACTTCTGATGTCTCAGCCTGCTTTCCTTGCAGACTGGCAGATGTGAGTCTTTGCTTAATGGAGTATTAGAGGCCATCTTTTACTCTCTTTTAAAAAAAAAAAAAAATAATATTAATAAGCTGGCATTTGAGAAATGCAAAAAATTTCTTACCTCTAAATGACTTAAAAGTTTCAAGTAGAAAAAATGTGGAAGAAACAAGATTTTGAAAACCAGATTGTACTGAAACATGAACAAATGGTCTTGTTTGCTTTACTATTAGGAACCATGGTTCTCTTGAAAGCTTTTGGGATGTCCAGAAATGATTTGATTAAGTATAGCAGTCTCTTCAAAGTGTGCTGAGAACCACACTAAAAATATTTGGTTGGAGTATATATAATATTGCAGATGGGTAATCAATGCAGCAAATTCAGCAGTTTTAGGGCTGGTGTGTCTGTTTTCAGCTCATAATTTTCTTTCTACTATGGTACTATACATAGACTGGGGTGATTTTTCTGGGATGTTAATAGTGTATATTTTCAAAGCTAGGAATATACTGGCCCTTACAGCCACAGGGAAGCAGCTGGGGCATCCAGATTGTTTGTGTTTTGCCAACTGCCATGTAAGGTCTTTTGTTGGCTTTTAGTTTTCTGCTCACACTAAATAATTCTTGCCCTTTCCTTCAAGGCTCTTTTCAAAATCAGCCTTGTGTTGGTCCAATAACCAGACCTATGTTTTCTATAGCAAAACTTTTTTTTTTTTCCTTTTTCTTTTTCTTTTGTCAGGTCCTCACTCCTGTTCATTGCATAGATTGTGTTGCTTTTTGTTTTGCCCCCCAAAAAGCTCTGGTCCCAGATGAGTC